GCTTTTCGAAACATACAGAACAAAATTTTGGAAGCAGTTGTGCCTTAGAAGTCTCAACATTTGCAGAGAGAGCAAAAATTAGGTTATTTTTTTCATTATTTGTTTACAAACCTCACTACTTTCCCTTTGTTTTCTTCCTTTGACGCCACAGCCAAGTATTTGCCGGAGGTTCCTGACGCTTCTAAGCCTCGTGTTTGGTTATGTTTCATCTTCTCTTCTTTTCAAGCTACTGAACACACCCAAAGGCATTTTTATCCCTAAGTTTTTTTTCCGCAGGAAATATCACTTTCCGTTTTCGATTTTATTTTTAAAACACAGTGGTGATCAAGTCGTTGAAGTATATGACCATACAGCCTTTATATGAGAACTGTTTGGAGAAGTAGTTGAGAAGAGAAATACCCTGAGGAGATAATACTGCCTGAAAAGGTCTTCGTTCCTTAACAATCCCCTCAATTTTTTTTTTTATGAAACGCTATGGTTGGGGACTTCAAAATTGTTCGTATCCAAGGCGACTGCCAACAGCCTCAACATGTATCTGGGAATTAATTTGCAGCTTACATGTTGGTTGTAGAAGGGAGGTGGTGGGAGAGCAGGTCCAAGGGCGGATGAAGCGGTTGGGAGATAAACAGATTTTCACTTGTCTCTGTCACTTGTGGCGTATGACTTCATAGCATATGACTTCAAGGCTCTATTACATCAAATACTTGGTTTGTGTGCTTAGCTGGTGTGATTGTAGATAATTGATTATCTATTGAAACCACAAAATAATCTACAGAAGGGACTCAGTAAATAAAAAAATCAGAAGAAAAGCATATGTGCAGAGACAAAGGGCAACAGATGGACTTCGTAAAGCAAGTACTTGTCCTCTGCTACCATAATTGAATGAATGTTTGCAAATATCTGTTAATGAATATGTATGTCCAGAGGATTATGGTCTAAAATAAACTGACAAATGGTCTTTGCACATCCAGAAACTTTGATTTGATGAGATTTCATGAGATTTCTGATGTTCCACGTTTCCAATCAATGTTGAGATAATAGCTCAGCTTTTTGTTATTCTGCTAAATAATCATGAAAAAGGGATAATATAACTGTCCTACAAGTTTGGAAACTACAGGAAAGATGTTGCCCAGAGAAGTTGTGGTTGCCCCGTCCCTGGAAGTGTTCAAGGCCAGATTGGGTGAGGCTTTGGGCAACCTGGTGTAGTGGAAGGCATCCCTGCCCATGGCAGGGGGGTTGGAACTAGATGATCTTGAAGGTCTCTTCCAACACAAACCATTCTATGATTCTATGATTCTATGGTAAAGATTCATCTCATGTTTGGTTAAAACTGTTGGGCCAATGTCCATTCTCCTTGAAAAGGTTTCTCAAGGACGATTGAACTAAGAGGGATCATGCCATGTAGTTTGCAATCTGTGAAGGACCATTTTGCAACATCTGGGACGTTAGGAGCTCTGATCGAGGCAGTGCTGGGTGTCGAAGCTCACACTGAGCTGCTCAGGGTGGGTTCCTAATGATGCAGGGATGAAGCTCCTGTTGAAGAAGGATCATTGCAGCAAGCGGAGATGACCAGCAACCTTTGACAATGCTTTTCCATGTTACGTTCCAACCAGGACTGGCAGCTTCCTAAAATCCTCTTGAAGCTGCCTTCATTTTATGTTTTCCTTAGGAATCCTGGTATAAAAGAAAGGAAATATTTTCTTTCTGTTGGTTACTTCTCGGATAAGACGTTGGAAGCATTAGAGCACTAGTCATTACTGCTCTCTCTTAAGCAGAAGAAAGGACAAGAAGCCTGTCAGAACCTTAGTCATTGATTTTCCTGGAGCAAAGGGTCATATGTTAAGTACTATTGATAAAAAGCATCATTGCGGTGTCCATGGAGACCAGGTTGAGGTGAAAGTGAACTGTTACCATTAGAGTGACAGCTTTAGGTGGATCTGTAAAGAGCCTGCTTCTTCCTCTGATCATCAGGAAGATATTCTTTATTCTACCTTGAGTGTTAGATCAAACCTGAGGCTTCTGTGAAGCCTGCTGTGCATGTATAAATCTCACAAGTAGTTGTACATGTGTAGTACTATGCCTGTGTGTAAGAGGCTTTATCCTCTGCTCTGCTTGGACATGCTTGGAGAGCACGCTTGAACGCTATGACCATTAAACCAGTGTGCCCTTCCTTTAGGAACCTTCAGAATTTTCTCTGCTCAGAAAGGTAGGACCGCTGCTGCCTGGTCAGGGTCCCACATGAGCACCCCAGGTTCGTGCAGCCTGCTGCTGAAATCAGTTAAGAGACACTGTAGCAACTCCTGCTTTTGTTATGCAGTTTCAAAATGATGATACCATCTGTATCATCAGATACAGTATCTGTATCTTGCAGATCTGTTGCTTGAGTATTGTTCCATTTGCAAGTGAAGCAGTGGACCAGGTTTCCCAGAGAAGTTGTGGCTGCCCCATCCCTGGAAGTGTTCAAGGCCAGATTGGATGGGGCTTTGAGCAATATGTAGTGGCACGTGCCCCTGCCAATAGCAGAGGAGTTGGAACTAGAGGATCTTGAAGGTCCCTTACAACCCAAACCATTCTATGAAACTCTTGGTTTTGGGTGGACACTGACCTGAAGAACCCTTCCTCTGAATGAGCAGAACCAACACTATTGCTGCCTCTCTTGGAGGACAACAAGTTGTCTTGAGGCCTCCTAGCTGGTTTAGCTCAAATACAGCTCAGGAATCATTTTTGTCTGAAATCAATTGGCAAAACAGAGCCTGTTGTTTGGAACTGATGGTGGACCACCCAAAAATCCACTCAAAAGTCCGGATCATTGGAAGATCTTCCAAATTATGGAGTTTCTTTCAAAATTCACTTGTGGTTTCTATCAGCTGATTTCACTCTAAATTTTCTGTAAGCAACACCTTCGGGTAAAAGTTGGTGTTACTGAACTTTCCAAACTGAGAGACCAGTGTGATTTGTCCCTTCTCTTGGGATTTCTCAATTCACAAATCATTCCTGTAACCACCTACCTCCATAAGCCATGCAACAGGTCCCTGAAAGCATTCCTTTGTCCCTCCACTTCTTGACTGTTTCTTCTCCATATCTATTTTTTTCTTATCTCCCAACCTCTGAAGATACTCCAAGATTCAAGGACAAAACTTTTGTGGGCTCCTGTTTTCACTCTCTCATCCTGTTTTTCGGTCAGTGCTGAATGTAAACACATGCAGAAGTTCTCCATGATGAGAAAGTTCTCCATGATGAGAAAGTTCTCCATGATGAGAGCGTGGCTCAATGTTGTGCAGAGATCAGAAGAGTTGAGAGTCCTTCAGTATCAAAGGACGTCATCAGAGCTCTCGACGAAAATATGTTTTAAAGAAACTCCCTACGTGTTTGCGTTGTCCCGTGAATGTTTTATATGTCGGCAACTTCAATATGCAAAGTGACCAACTCTGTTCTTAAAACAATCGCTCTCTGGTTTGAGAAGTAGAGTTTGTTCTGCCCTAATGCAAAAAAAACCTCAGCGTTCTTTCACTCGGCCATGAAAACGTGAAGTATTGATTCTGAAACGTCTAATTGATTGTAACAATAAATCACTGGGCAGTATATGCGCAAAATTGATTTTTCTATTGCGATAATTAATTTGATGCGTGCTGTAACGTATTTATGCAGGGACTCAGCAACTCAACAATGGTAATAAATTGGATTGGGTCAAAAACTATCCGTCGCCATGTGGTCACCTTTTCTCTTTGCCTCATCGTTGCCTCATTGATGTGATTCTGCCCTTCTACTTTGCTCTCATGAGACCCCACCTGAAATACTGCATTCAGCTCTGGAGTTCACAACACAAGAAGGACATAGAGCTGCTGGAGCGGGTCCAGAGGAGGCCACGGAGATGATCCAAGGGCTGGAGTATCTCTACTTTGAAGACAGGCTGAGAGAGTTGGGGTTGTTCAGCCTGGAGAAGAGAAGGCTCCGGGGTGATCTTATAGCAGCCTTCCAGCACTTCAGGGGGCCTACAGGAAAGCTGGAGAGGGACTTTTTACAAGGGTGTGTAGTGATAGGACAAGGGGCGATGGCTTTAAACTGAAAGAGGGGAGATTTCAATGAGATCTAAGGAAGAACTTCTTCACTCTAAGGGTGGTGAGGCAGTGGAACTTGTTGCCCAGAGAAGTTGTGGATGCCTCATCCCTGGAAGTGTTCAAGGCCAGGTTGGATGAGGCATGGAGCAACCAGGTGTAGTGGAGGATTTCTCTGCCCATGGCAGGTGGATTGGAACTAGATGATCTTTGAGGTCCCTTCCAACCCAAACCATTCTTTATTCTATGATTGCTTTGAATCGCCGAGCAAGGAGATCCAATTGATATCGTTGGCTTGGATTTCTTCAAGCCTTTTGATAAGATCCTTCACAAAAGGCTCCTGAAGGAATGAAGTTGCTCTGGTGCAAGGAAAACGATTCTTTTTACGATAAGCGACAGATGTGATAGAGAACAAAGGACAGAGAGAGGTGTTGGCTTGTCTTGGTTGAGGAGCACCAGTGGTGGAGTTGCCCAGCGTTGCGTGCTGGACTTCACACTGACTTGTGCACAGGACCTTCCTCCATCCATGGGAAGGAAGAAAAGATACAAGAGAAGGCAACAGGAACAGTCAAGGACATAGACAAAATTCCTTCAGACCTTCCTCTGTCCACGGGAAGGAAGAAAAGGTACAAGAGAAGGTGACAGTAACAGTCAAGGACATGGACAAAATTCCTTCAGAGCTTTCTCCAAGGAGAGAGGTGGCAGAGATGGGTGTCTGGCCATGTAGGGATGTGTTGGGATGGGCAATAAATTTATTCCCAAGAGAGTTTAACTGTCTTTATGTTGATATAACGAGGGTGCGGTAACGTCTCTGTGAACATTTGTGGACTTAAAATGGCACATTTTTTTCCTGTTTGTTTTATGTGCTTGATTTCTGTCATTTCTTTGCCCCCCCAAAAATAATAAATAAATAAAAACTGACAATAATATCTCTTTTTTTTACAGAGCATCAAAGTGAGTTGGCTGCCTCCACCGCCAGGTACTCAAAATGGATTTATTACGGGCTATAAAATCCGACATCGAAAGACTACCCGCAGGGGTGAGATGGAAACGTTGGAGCCAAACAACCTCTGGTACTTGTTCACAGGTCGGTGTTCGTGAGGTTTTGAGGAATTAAATGCTTAGGGAATAAAATAATGCTTGTCTTTTCAAGAGGACATTGATTTCTTTGGCTGGCAGGTAGCGTTTGTTGTGTTGTACGCAGACAGACTTTATGCCAGTGTTTTTAGAGCAATTTTTTCCCTTAGTTCTTCTGTCATATATTTGTCTCCTGAATTTTATAGAATAATTATTATAATTAATGAAGGTGAATTTTTCGTGTCCGATATCTTAAGCCTCGGTTGTTTTTTTTTTTAGAGTGCTCAGCCAACATCTCCCTATTTTCTCGTGGGTGCAAAAATATTGATTTCCTCCAGCTCTTTATGAAGATATTTCCTTGGAAAATATCTCCTTCCGGAATAAAACCACGAGATCGTAGCGAAAGCGATAATTGCGAGGAACTAAACTAGTCGGGTGGTTCTCGTAAGGGTAGCGGTGAATTCTGGTAGGTGAAAATGAATTTCACCTGAGTTCTTGCGTTATGCCCAAGTCATAACTGAAAAAGCAGCAAAGCATCAAGGGAGAAAATTAAATTTTGTCCAAGTTGACGGCACCTTTGCATCTGAATCAAGTATAATCATAATTTCACCTCAAATGACCTGCGTATGTCTGCTTTCACGTTTGAAGCGTAGTCTGTGAGAATCAGAAGTAATTCTGCGTTGTATATTTCAGCATGAACAATATCATTTACTGGTTTGGAAGAAAAAGTAGTATTTCCTTTCAAAATTAAAGAAGAGCAAAAGTAGAATGTTTTTATGAGGAAGACGTTAAATACTGAAATCTCAACTTGGTCATCTAACTTCGACTCTTGACCAAAGTCCCCATGGGACCTCTTATGAAGGCTACATAATTAATAGCTGCACAACAAACAATTACCTTCTGGGGGGAGTTGGCACGTTAAGCACATTGGACAAGATGGAACAGATCAATATTCTGGCAGATAAAGTAGAAATAATAGTAAAAGCGCTTAGATGCTTGAGCTTTTGCTGCTCTGATGGTGTAGAGAAGAAAACATAGCAATGTGGTCAAAGTCCCGGAGGGGAGGCACATGCCTCCATAGCTCCACTGGCACCGTCCTTGTGGAAGTAGAACAGAGCAGAGACCTTCGAGCAACCTTCCAGTACTTCAAGGGGGCCTAGAAGAAAGCTGGAGAGCGACTTGGACAAGACTGTGTAGTGACAGGACATGGGGCAATGGATTTAAACTGGAAGAGGGGAGATTTCCATTAGATCTAAGGAAGAACTTCTTCATTCTGAGGGTGGTGAAGCACTGGACTAGGTTGCCCAGAGAAGTTGTGGCTGCCCCATCCCTGGAAGTGTTCAAGGCCAGGTTGGATGAGGCTTTGAGCGACCTGGTGTAGTGGCAGGTGTCCCTGCTGATAGCAGAGGAGTTGGAACTAGATGATCTTTAAGGTCCGTTCCAACCCAAACCATTCTACAATTAATCTCTATTGGAGTAGATCCCCATGTCCTGAGCAAACTCTGGCTTTTCCATTAATTATTATTCTGGGCTTGTAAGAGCTGTGGGAATCGTGGTGGGACCATGGGCTGCAGATAACCCTAACCCTCCTGGCTGCCGCAGCCCAAACTACTTTGTTTTACGGAAAACTTGGGAATACGTGTTTTAGAAAGCAATCAAGACAAACATCCAGCTCTTGTTAGCACGTGGATATCGTGATTGCAGGAAATGGAGCTATGTGGCTCTTCTAAATGGACATTTTCAATATCAACCTCTAGATGCCTCAGACCTTCACTGCCATCCTATTTGGTAGAGAAGTGCTTTACAAGATGACATCTGCAATAGGCAAAGGAGTTTTGAGTTAATGATGCACGTTTTGAAAATAGCCGCTCTTAATTTGAGGGAAGACTTCCACATCAACGAAACATTAAACCTCCTCTTTGTCATGATGAGAGTTCTTCTCCAGAAGATGCTGGCATTTAAATGAAAGAGGTTTTTCTTGGGCTTTGTGGTCAGTATAGAGGACTTGCAAGTCTTGAGGAGAACGTCTTGTTTGTGAATTTGTGATTATTTCATAATGTTGGCAAGACTTTCCATTTTTGCCCTGATCTGTGTGCTCTGAAACTCAAACTCTGGTATTGTCATTAATTTCTTTTGCTTCTTTCTGTATGATTTTAATTTGCCTTTTTTTTTTCTTTTTGACTTTTGATTTAACCAGGACTTGAGAAAGGAAGCCAATACAGTTTCCAGGTGGCTGCCATGACGGTCAATGGGACAGGACCTCCCTCGGACTGGTACACGGCGGAAACACCCGAGAACGATCTTGATGGTAAATGCATCTATTTTAAAAGCTGTTTTATCCCAAAGCCATCTAGCGAGGGGATGGCACCGCAGTTGTCACCCACACTGAGGTTCAGGTGAGATGTCCAGGATCTAAACACCCACCAAGAGATGTTTTCTCATCCTCCCATGTCCCGTATGCCTCGAGTTGCATTTATTGTCACTATGGCCAAGGGAGTCCAAAACCTTTGATAAAATCATTCTGCGCCAGAATTTAGCTGAGTGTCGTGACCGTTTGCAATAAGGTGATGAAATGAATCTGTAACTACGTAAATGATCAATATACTCAATTGAAGAAACGATGGAAACGCTGCCAATGATCCCAACGATTCGCTAAACCAAAGTTCAAATGGGTTAAATCTTCTTTCCCAGCTTTTCTTTGCAGCTCTTAGAAAGGCCAGTTGGCATCGACACTGAATAATTAGCAAAAGACGACGGGACGCGAGATAACCCGATAAACCGTGGGCCACATAAATCAGCGCAGATGCCGGGACGAAAGGGAAGGAAACGGCTGAAACGTTTAGGGTTAGATAAGATATGAAAATAAATATATAGATAAAATATATAAACATAAAAATGGGAATAGTTGGAAATGGTAAAGGAATAAAAGGGGAGTAATGAAAAAGTCCACCTTAAAAAAGGAAACAGGGCACGAATCAAGTGGAACAAAGAATCTCACAGATGGAAGTGATGGCAAAACCTCAGACAATCTGTAAGAAGCAAATACGTAGTAGGAAGGAGATGAGTAGAAAATAAAAGGAAACTGATGAAAAAGGTGATGATTTTTAAACCAAAATAGATCACCGAGGAAGAATCAAAGGCAAACAGGATGAAAGAGTGAATAAATCCTCACTTTAAATACACCGTAGTGCTCGATGTTGCTGTCCTTTCGACTGGCTGGATTCCCTTCTGATCTCTTGCAAATTGAAGAATTTCTGCTTTTCCCTGTGTCCAAATGTGATTTTCCAGCAGATATGGAGCGACTGCAACACAAAACAGGAGAACCAGGTCCCTGCGGTTTCTCCTCAAGGTTTTAAAAGAAGAAATGATGCTTCTAGACGCCACGTAACTGTATGGATGGATCACAACGTGCCGTGGTGCACGATGATATCTTCTTAATTAGGCTTTGGCTGGATGGCAGTTGAAGAAGTGATGCTCTTAAGGAGTCAAATTCGAATTTTCACTGGAGAGGGCAAAAGGTAAAGTGCCGTATGCGAAAAGAAAGGAACACGTATCCTGGGCTGCATCCAAAGCAGCATGGGCAGCAGGTCAAGGGAGGGGATTCTGCCCCTCTGCTCTGCACTCCTGAGACCCCCCTGCAGTGCTGCCTTCAGCTCCAGGGCCTCCAACAGAAGAAGGACATGAAGCTTTTGGAGCGGGTCCTGAGAAGGCCACGAAGATGATCCGAGTGCTGGAGCATCTCTCCTATGAAGACAGGCTGAGAGTACTGAGGTTGTTAAGCCTGGAGAAGGCTCCAGGGAGACCTTCGAGCAGCCTTCCAGTACTTCAAGGAGACCTACAAGAAAGCTGAAGAGGGACTTTTGACAAGGGCGTGTCGTGATAGGACAAGGGGCAATGGCTTTGAACTGAAAGAGGGGAGATTTCAATTAGATCTAAGGAAGAAATTCTTCTCTCTGAGGGTGGCGAAGCACTGGATGAGGTTGCCCAGAGAAGTTGTGGCAGCCCCATCCCTGGAAGTGTTCAAGACCGTGTTGGATGGGACTTTGAGCAACTTGATCTAGTGGCAGGGGTCCCTGCCCGCGGCAGGGGGGGTGGGGCTAGATGATCTTTGAGGTCCCTTCCAACCCAAATCCTTCTATGATTCTATGATTATCCTTGTGAAACTGCAGCAGCCTGATGCTGGGAATACACCGTGTTGCTCGCGAGATACAAACGCTCTGATAAACCTTGGGGAAAATCCCCCAAAAATCGACTTATTGCTGGAGTTACACAGAGATCCTGCAAACGTCAGCTAACCAGGGAAGGGCTGGTAAACTCCAATTCCCTCTCTGCTCCTCTACCTAATGTGGTTTCTCTTCCTTTCCTTGGAAACCTGGTTGGCACCAGCACCGCGAAGATGAACAGTATCCCAGCGAACAGCATGAACTCCCAACGGATATTCGTTTTAATTAGTGTGTTTTGTTAAAGCGATTAGAAATCCAAACATAGCTGCTTCTTCAAGGTCCCTTAGAAAGCTCGCGTGCCTTTACTGACAGCTGGGAAGGCTTTAAATATTTATTTCTTGTGCTTTAAAAAGCAAAAATAAAAATAATTTTTAAAAAAATCAGAAAAAAAATAGAAATTGAAAGCAACGCTTTCCCCAAAGGGCCTGATTTAAACAGCTTGAGCAAGGATGCAAGAGAATCTCTGCTCAGCTTTGCAAAGGTATCCTCCAGGAAAATGGGTTTAGGATGCTTCGTTGCTGCTTGCCGCATCGAACAGATGGATGCTGTTACTCGTATTAGATAGTGATAGAGTTTAGCTTCAACTCTTAAATTAGTGCTGTAAGATCACAGCAAGCTAGACTGCTTTCATATTGTAATTTACCCTGAAAAGTGGTTGAGGAAATATGTAAACAAAATGAGATGAGTGAAAAACAGCCTGATTTAGTAAAATACGCATTTTTGAATGGCTAAAAGTATTGCTGAAGTGGCCCAAATGGGAAGCATTTTTCAAGCTTGACAATGGAATTAGGGAGCGTTGAGTAGCACCGAGCGCAATATTCCCTGGATGGAAAATGTGGGCGCTCAAGCCATCATGTAGGAAGATGGCAAAGGGCTCAGAAGTGAGCGGGAGCAGATGGGGCATCCCAGGAGATGTACCCTGGTCTAGTGGAAAGTGTCCCTGCCCATGGCAGAGGGGCTGACATCTACAGCTCGTGCTTCCGAGCACCAAATTTGCTTACAAATACACAGAGATTTCCCCACCAGAGAGGGAAGTGTTAAATTCTTGGCACAGTCAAGAGGAAGACTGTAAATTTGGCTCATTTGGGACTTAAGATGAAGAACTCATATGGCATTTCATGGAGGAGACCAGGATCTCAAGGTTGCTTCTCAAAAATAGTTCCGGCATCATGTTCAAACCCAGGAGAAATGAAAATAAACATGTTGGTCTAGAACTCCAATTAAATGGCATAATAAAGAAAGAAAAAAAGATGATACATGTTTAGTAAGAGTTTTATTCCTGATTATCTGAGTGCTGGGACACTGAAAAACAGCAGAGCCATGCAAAAGCCAAATGGTCCATTTTCCTGAAGAACTGATGGATTTAGATGTTTGGCTGTGTATTATGTTTGGCAGAAGCAGTTACTGTGGAAAACATACTGCGTCGTAAAGAGAAGCGAAAAAAACTTCGTTTGACGGGAAGAAAAAGTTGTTGATTCTGCTGTTTCACTTTGTGCTTTGGGTGGTGAAATAGATGACACGAATTATAAAATCTGGAGCTGTTTCAGAAGAATAAGAGTGTTTTGGGGTATTTTTCAGAAAATGTTTGAAAGTAAAGCTGATGGAAATGTAATTAAAATTGGCTTTATACAGAAAGCTGAAGCAAAAAAAAGAGAAAATTCAAAAAACAGCTCGGTGGTTATGAAACTAAAAAAATTTTCAAATAAAATTCAACAAAATAGTTAAAAAATATTATTTACCCCAGCTTCATTGATGCACAAGAAAGGTACATGAAGTTTAACTGCCTTTTGCTTTTTGAAACAAGAAGTGGCGATTTTGCTCAGCAATGCAGAAGTCGCCCATTTGCATCATTCAGAATAAAGAATAAGAAATATTGGAATAAAATAATTTGAATAAAATAATTTGAATAAAATAATTTGAATACAATATTTGAATAAAACCCAGTAGGCTGCCTAGAGGGATCCGTGCTGCAATAGAAATCCCTGCCTCGTGCCAGATGGCAAAATCAGCATTTGAAGGCGATCGGGGCTTTGACTGGTCTGATCTTCGCTGTCTGAAAATCTGCTACTTTTAAGAAATCTGAGCAATCACGGAATCGCTACATTCTCCAGTTTCTCATTTCAAGGCATCAAATCGTTCTTTTCTCTTCGGGGCTTGTAAGCAATGGTTCTACCATTTCTTTTTTGAGTGACGCCGTTGAGGAATAACCTGCTCGAGTAATTTTTGCTTCTGTATTAAAAGTTTGGGACCGGAGTGGGGAAAAATGGCAACTTTAACTTGATTTATAGTGGCTCTACCAGTGCAATATTGTTTTTTTTTTTTTCTTTCTTTTTGTGAGTAGCGACTTTGCTGGGAATTTTCTTCAAGCTCAAAGAGCCACGGTTTGCGATTTTAAGGAGTTTGAATGCAAAGGACTTCTAAAGTCGCTGGGTGTTTCAGGCTGGTAACGTCCGAATGAGACCTCCCGCAAGGTGCAACATCAGAGGGCTCTGATGCTGATGTGTTCGTAAGAATTGGTCTGAAAGCTCCTCAAATATGAAAGATGTGTAGAAAAGCCTTAATTCTCCTTTTTTCGGACTTTTTCCAAGGTTTACAGTGGGAATGCTTCACAACCGTGTCTTTTGTTGGAGTTTACATCAGTTTGTAGTCTTAGTAGGGTATTTTTTGCTACCCTGTCCTTGGTGCCTTCCAGATAAAGCTTTTATCTATTATATTTCAAGCCTTTTTAGTGGGGAAAAGTAGTAACTTGTCTCTTTCTGCTCTCAAAAAGACAAGCTACTGTGCAGCTCCTCTGAAGAGACTTGTGATATGGTAGTTACCGGGTAAACTCAAACAAAAGGCATTTATTTACTTGTCTGACCTTTCCAGTAAAATGAGGCTTGGAGAAGACAAATAGGCTCCAAGTGGTTAATGACTACTTCAAGTAATGAATTTTACTTGGGAATACCTGTAAAGAAAATCATCTCATTCTATTCTTTCCGGTTTGAAATGTTGGTGTGGTATTTAAAGCAGCTTCAAAACAAGAAATGTATGGCCAAGAGTTAAATTTGCTGCTTATTTTCATAGGAAAGAGACAGATTATTGCCAAAATGTACTGGTGTATCACTAAAAAAGGAAACTTTTTTTGTTAAATAATCTGGGAGCGCAGGACAAGCTCCTACAATCAGCTGGCAGGATCCTTCTTGCAAATAGAGCAGGGAAGAGCAGAATTGTCCTACTGGGAATTCTTTTGCAGGTCATCTTTCATTTTCCTGCATTGTTTGAAATCTCTCTTGCACCCTTTGTGCTAAAGTTGGAAAGCACAAGGAGAAACTCTGTTTAAAAACAGAACGAGGTGTATCGATGCTCTTGGAAGGGAAGGATGTAGCTCAGAAGTGAAATTGCATGTGCATGTAACTTTGGGGGCACCTGCTTGTTTTTTTTGTGCAAATATTTTAATCTAAACTCAAACCTTGAGTAGAATATTAATTGATCCATTTCTCTTTTTTTTCCTTTTTTTTTTTTTTCTTTTTTCAATCCCAGAATCGCAGGTTCCTGACCAGCCAAGCTCTCTTCACGTCAGGCCCTTGACGACAAGTATTGTCATGAGTTGGACTCCGCCGCTCAACCCCAACATCGTCGTCCGCGGGTACATCATCGGCTACGGCGTCGGCAGTCCCTATGCTGAGACTGTGCGAGTGGACAGTAAGCAGCGTTATTATTCCATCGAAAATTTGGGTAAGTAATTGTTTCCATTCATTTCATTCCATGAAAAGAGCTTATTCTCTAAGATTCTGCTGGATTTGTAGGTTTATTTTCCGGCTATCACTGGTGTTTCTTTTATTATGTTGCTTTCTTAGGCTGTTTCTGCATCCCATTTTACATTTGGACTTACTTTGAAAACTCTGGATACTCCTAAACATGTCAAATCTCTTTGATCAAATGCTCATTTTATTCAGGAGACCTTATTAAGTCGTGTACTCCTCATGCTGACTCCCACTCGTGCAGAGAGCTGGACCTAAAGATGTTATTCCCTGGGCCGGTCTTCCCCCATGTTCGAATTTAATGACAGTCGCAAAACTCCTATTCTGTGTCTGTCAAAACGGTGCCGAGAGAGAAGTGGTTATTCATTATTCATGGCACAGCCTCTGTGACACTTCATCTAAATTCTCAGCGTGGTATGTGGGGACCTGGATCCTTCCAGTGGTGACGGACTGTTCTCGCACTGGGAAAAGAGTTTGGAGTTTAAAAGAAGTGAAAAAGTTGGTTTCTTTGTCGTTTCTCCTTGAGCTCTTTTATTCCAGGTAAAAATGGTAAGTTTTCCTCTTAGAAGTCTGGGAATGATCAGATATTACAGGAAGATTCATTAATTTGGTTCATGAAGGATGCAGAGCTAGAGTAGTTCTCTCAGTTCTCTAGAGCCCAAACTCTCTGATATCTGGGAACGCTTTTCTTTGGAATTGGTATTTTACAGCACCATGAAACTACATTGTCCTACCTTTTTGTTGTTTCCTTGGGGGGAACCTGGAGAGCAGAAGAAACTGGTTTTACTGTTCCTTCACAAAACAGCTTCTCTATGTCCAACCATATGGTTCACAACGGAGGTATTGGCAAAGAGCCACGCATAAACACTCGCAAAGATGCAGTGGGTTCTACACAAAAAAGCAGATTTGACAATATTTTGTGCAAACGCAACGTTATTACGCAAAATGGAAAGACGTCTGACTATGGAAGAAATTTTTTGGCCTGTAAAGATGAAAGCTGTTACTAATAAATGTGTGTGTGTCTAATAACTAATGGTCAGGATTAAAGGCGAAGTCTTTTTTTGCGTTCCAAAAGGAATGTAAATTCTCATTCGTAAATTATTTCGTATCTTTAATGAGTTTTCAGTTGAGTCTTTCACCACGGTTGACCCAGAAGTACTGAAAAAAAGAAAATTAGATGGGCAGAGCTAGCTAAGCCAACGTGCTTTGGCAAAAGGTAAGGAGGGGATGCCTACACAGCTCAATTTTGTAGAGTTCTGAACGGTCAGCTCTTGCTGAAAGTGTCTTGATTAATGACTGGAGAAATGTCTTGGGTTTGGGGAAGCTTTACTGTTTGTTTTCCTTTATGTATTTTATGACTGGTGAATATATTTGCTCATAGGACCTCTGGTAGCAACTACCATCAGGTGGAAGACACGCTAGGAACAGCTTGCGGATCCAAAAGCTTTCTCTTAGAGGAGCTACACTTGGTATTTGTGGAAATTCAATGGTGTGCTTCAGTTATTAGAACCATTTCTGTGGATTAAAAGGGTTCTCCTATATCCTTGGCTCTGCTGGCAGGCAGAAGTACATAAAAAGTCCAGCGAGTCAGGGAAGATGTTTCACTAATATACTTCAATTAAAAAAGTAACACTCGAACATCTAGAAAACATCAAGAAACAATTGAGTGTGTCAAATATTTAGTTATAAATAATTCAGGCACTGAAATCAGAGTCGTTGGGGTGTGGTGGTTTTTTTTTTCTGAACATCCTCCAACAGACTGAGGTCTCCTGAAAGTTATTAGTTATTCAAATGGAAGATTTTTTTTTGTGGTACAGTTTTGGGCTTGATGGCTAAAATTCGAAATGCGGGCGGTGTGACTTGATTGTCGTTGTCCAGATAAGCTGCGTGCATCTGGTCTCATACCTGGACAAGGATACAAGATCTTTGGTCACAAGTCCTGACGTGCACGTTTTAAATTCAACTTCTGTGACCATTCACATGTGCAACTTCAAAAATCCATTTCCATGAATAATTATGCTAATTAAATTACATCATTTAAATATCCGCTGAAAATGAACCTCGCAGGGATGTGACCTGGGGCCTGGAGAAGGCTTTAAAAATACTAGAACAGTTGCCAACACTTTCTACGTTATTCACTCACTTTATTAGAAAACGTTACGAGAAAATTACGCAAAACGATGAAACAGAATTCTTCTCCTAATAAAAATACTGATTTCAAGAAGGTGATGAATCAAAATGTGCTGCTGGCAGGATTGAGGGGAAAAAATACTTCCTAGATGTTACGTGGACTCATCCAACCTGTTGTAAAATTTCCAACACCACCTACGTGTGAGAGGTACGCGTTAGCTGAAACACCACGCAAAAGCAACAATGAAGTCTGATACCTAAATAAACTATGAACTTCAGCAAGTTTTTCTTTCTCCTCCAAAGACCTCATCCCTTTTGATCCTCGTGGCTTTCGGCGATTGCTTCCTCTTGGCTCCCCAGCTCTCCTTTGTCTCGTTAGACAGAGACCGCGGAGAGGTCACCCCACTTCGCCTCAAGCCAGTCTGTGATGTATCGAGCTGAAAATAAGGTTTTTGTAGCTTCCCCAGGTTCACGGAAGTTCTTTTGATTGTTCCTTTGTGTGCTGTCTTGAAGCGCGCCGCCAACCTATGTATCATTTAGATTCTCGAGCGGTAGATACTTTCATTAAAGAGCAATCTCAGGCTTGTTTGACATCAGCTGCCTTTCAGAAATCCTGCCTGGCTCTCATTTCCGCACATAGATGCCCAAATCCAATAATCCAGTTCCATGTGAGGCATTATTTTACTGCTATAAACTCGTGCTATGGTCCTGAAAGAAAATGACAGTGGAGAACACCAGGTTGAACAGGGACGCAAAGCACCCTGACGCCATACATGTGCACGTACATCCATCCCTGATCTTTTTCCTTGGACCAAATTTCTTCTCTCTATGTCCAGACCTGCACAAAAGCACCTCCTGGACATCTTACCAAAGACCTTATGGTCAAGAGATTGGGAAGCGACTTAGATGTAGGGATTGAAAGTTGAAGCTAACAGCCCTCCCAGACTGCCTCACAGCCTTTATTCCCTTCCCAGCATCCTGCGATACGGTTGCCCTGGCAATTCCTGCCTTCGTGATCCTCCTTTGTCTGGCGGTTCCTGCCGTAGATGTGCGATAGGGTTGCCGTAGCAATTCCTGCTTGTTCGATATGTACAGCTGATATTTGCTCGGGTTTTATTCCTCCTTCCGTAACGTGTTTGTGCAGCCGTGGGTCATTGTTGGCCACCTGCACACGTACTCTTATGAATATGGACGCTTGGACGCCATTGTTATAAATGTCTGGAATGATAAATTCATAGAATCCTAAAATGGTTTGGGTTGGAAAGGACCTCAAAAATCATCTAGTTCCAAATCCCCTGCTGTGGGCAGGGGCTCCTGCCACTACACCAGGTTGCCCAAAGCCTCATCCAACCTGGCCTTGAATACTTCCACGGATGGGGCAGCCACAACTTCTCTGGGCAACCTGGTCCAGTGTTTCACCACTCTCATGGTAAAAAATTTCTTCCTTATATCTAATCGAAATCTCTCCCCTTTCAGTTTAAAGCCATTGCCCAATCAGTGCTTGACTGACTCAAATGAATAATCCTAACAGGGAGACCCACTTCTAGTGAACGACTTCGTTTTCCCTTTTTTTCAAATATTTTTAGTTCTTTGCTTGTGATTATAAATAGCAAAGTTATTGATGTTGGTTTAAACAATATCAGAAAAAGCACAGATGCCAATTCTGATTTTTTACTTGGAAGAACTAAATATTTCTATACTGATCCAACTCAGAAGGCCTTAAGCTTAGTAGTGAACTGACCAGGCTCATGTCCATGGAGCTTTATATTAAGGCTTACTCACAAAAAACGTATTAAAAAATGACTATTTTATAGATATTCAAACTATTACAAAACTAAATATGATGGGAAAGCTGTACCAAATTCTAGAGTCCCGTAAAAATGTGGACTTTCTTCTTCAAAACACATCTCTTCTTCCTCCCTTCTGTATGTGCAAACAGGAGAATTTTAGAATTTTAGTCTAATTTTAGGAAGAGTTTTCAAGTACACTTGCCTTTAAAAGGTGAAAAAGCTACATTCATCTCCCCGAGCGTGTCGGTATTCGTACGCACCCTCTTGAAAGACTTTGATTGGGAAGCCGGAGCACAGGTCCTGAAATATTATTTTCGTGTCTCTTTTTAACTCGAACCTTTGATCCTCATGGCCCGGCAATGAAAGCAAAGTGCATAATATGCAGCAAAAATCTAGCAAAGACTTTTCAAAGTTACTCCCTCTCCTCCCACGGAGCCTGAAGCTACAGACATCTGAAAATTTTAAGCTCCGAAGAGAGAATCTAATGGATGGGAGCAGTTTCTGCCTAATTAGTAGGTTGGAGAATTAAAGCTACTGTATGAATAATAAGAATGTATTAACAACTCACAGCGGTAAGTCATTTTATAAATGCTGGAAGGGGCTACACAGTCTCCCTTGGTCTATATGGACTGGCATAAGGGGCTGTATACGGTCCGGCGAGAGGTTGGCAGCCGCGGTGGTTTTGTCTTTGCGCACCTTGATGCGAGTCGGGTGATGCGTTAAGAGTTTTGGATGGCCCAAACGTGAAACTGCAGTGTTATTCAAGGAATAAAGCTTTTTTTAAAAAAAAAGTATAAAATAAAATCGACAATTACAAGTGACAAGAAATGAAGATAAAGCTTTTAGAGCTGGGTTTGTATTTTAACGTAACATACCAGTAGGAATCCACAGGGTTCCGTCAAATTCACCTTCATCATACCTGCAGATCAGATTAAATTGGACCTTTACATGTAGATGAGGCGAAAAAGCATTTTGGTTTATTGTGAGGGGAGAGAAAGAAGGTTCTTCGTTTTCTTTCATCTTTGCAGATGACAGTTGTGGGTTAAAACAAAGA